GCCTAACGTAATGGCAAGAGTCACACGACAAGACCAATGTCACTTTTGTCAATTTCTACACGGTGTGTGTGTCTATTTCTGTATAACCTCGTCCCTTGTAACAATACTGACATCCTACGAGAGTTGTCATGTGTATCGGTCACCAGTAGCTCTCACATGTTCGTAATATATGTTCGTGCGTCTGAATTGTTGAAGAGGCACAGACATACGCCAGTTGTCTGCTTCTGTTGCTCTGACGTTTTATTTGCTCGGTACTAACACCAGGAACAGAAATAATACGGACATAACAGGGACAAAACACGGAAATGGTACAAAACGCATGGCGAGCTACGGAATATTTCGGAGCTAATAAGCCAGTTCGTAGTTAGCCAAGGGGTTGTGTGACGTCATACACATACCTGTAGGTGTGCTATGAATCTCGCTCGGTGAGGGTTGATGATCTCGAAGTCTTCGTGTGTTAGCAGACCATGAAACCACGCCGGCTTGCGCACCTTGGGAGGGTCCAATATCAGCTCCTTATCCGACTCCTACATGATACAAACGTAATGTTACAGCGCCATGGAACATGACATGACATAACACGGGTGCTGATAATGTAATAGCAACACGACACGGCGTGGTAATGTAACACGGTCCAATAGAGAGTAACAGTGGAGCAAGACACTGTTACGTCTCGCTATGGCATGCCCTGCCACAACTTGTCATAGCGACGCCCCTCCCCCTCCCCCCACCCAGCAGGGGCGCTGGCTACCTCTATGGTGATGAGTTCGCTGTCGCTGCCTGTGGATGCCAGCAGCAGGCTCTGACTCATCATGGGCGATTCGACGTCGCGGTATTGCTCTGTCACCGTGCGTCCGGCCGTGTCCAGACACATCAGCTTGAGGAAGGGGTGCGAGAGAGGCACGTCCACGAGCCGGTTGTCCTGCAACGTCACACGTCATAGTGTCACGCATATGTCACAGTGCCATGTCACAGATGTCACCGTGGCACAGATGTACAACACACAGCAATACACAGCAGCATGCGATAGCGGCTCGTGGTTGTCCTGCAATGTCACACGACAGTGTCACACATGTCACAGTCAATAACATGAACAGTGTCACACATGCCACAGTCAATAACATGAACAGTGTCACACATGCCAGTCAATAACATGAACAGTGTCACACATGTCACAGTCAATTAAATGAAGTGTCACACATGCCAGTCAATAACATGAACAGTGTCACACATGTCACAGTCAATTAAATGAACAATATCACACGTGACCATGTCAATGCATCATGGTGTCACAGTGTCATAGTGTGACGATGACACAGCGTTGCAGCGTTATGGCAACACAGTGTCACAATGTCACAGTCAGCAACATGAACAATGTTAGTGTCACAGTGTGACAATGACAAAGCATTGCCTTGCCACAGAGTTACAGTGTCATAGTGCATTGCCACAGTGTTACAGTCCCACAGTGTTACAGTGTCACAGTGTTACAGTGTTACAGTGTTACAGTGTCATAGTGTTACAGTGTTATAGTGTCATAGTGTCACAGTGTTACAGTATCATAGTGTTACAGTGTCATAGTGTTACAGTGTTACAATGTTACAGTGTCATAGTGTTACAGTGTTACAGTGTCATAGTGTTACAGTGTTATAGTGTCATAGTGTTACAGTGTTACAGTGTTACAGTGTCATAGTGTTACAGTGTTACAGTGTCATAGTGTTACAGTGTTACAGTGTTACAGTGTTACAGTGTTACAGTGTTACAGTGTTACAGTGTTACAGTGTTACAGTGTTACAGTGTTACAGTGTCACAGT